CTCCAGATAGATCCCTCAAGGTTTATTGGCGAAAATTTGCAGATGGTGGGCAAGAGCTCGTCTTATGATACAAAATAGTACCAAGGCGACGACCCTATGTGTCAGATGGGGCCGGAGGCACCCTCAGTGTTCCGAGCGTCCGGCTGAATTGCCAAAATACAATATCTGGGACTCAAAACGCCGGTACAAAATTCAAGAACTTTCTGCAGTTCTTATCAGTTGTACCACCCTTTAAAACTGAAAACAAAAACGACCCCGTCTCTGCTCGCTAAAGACTTATGAGTCTTAGAGAAGTTTAGGTTTCAGTTTTTTCCCGATAGTTCTGGTTTACACATTTCGAGGCAGACTGCCAAGGTTTGCCGGTGTGCGCCGACCACGTCCAACTGACACAGACCCAAATTTCAACATTTTCCGAAAATTCATATTGCTCTGGGGTGTTTTTTGGATCCTACCAAGGTTGCAACGTCTCGCAAGTCTGAAAAAATGACATTTCAGAATTTCCAAATTTCAAAACTTCAGAATCTCGAAATTTCGTAATCTCAGAGTTACAGAATTTCCGAGATTCTGAAATTCAGAATCTCGAAACTTCAGAATTTGTGAATCCCATGATTTTAGAAATTTCAGAATTTCCGAATTTCCAGATCTCATAAGAGCTATAAAATTTCAGAATCTCAGAATTTCTTTTTTTTTCTCAAATTTCTGAATTTCTGATATTCTGAATTTCCAAATTTCGAATTTCAAAATCTCGAAATTTCTGAATTGGTGAATCCCATCATTTCAGAAATTCTAGAATTTGAGATTTTCAAAATTTCGGAATTTCGAAATCCTAGAATTTCCAAATTTCAAAATTTCCGAATTTCACAATCTCAGAATATCAAAATTTCAGAATCTCAAAATTTCAGAACTTCAATATTTCTGAATTTCCGAATTACTGATTTTCAATATTTCAGAAATTTCAGAATTTCAGAATTTCAGAAATTCAGAATTTCAGAATTTCAAAAATTCGGAATCTCAGAATTTCGAAAATTCGGAATCTCAGAAATCCTAGAATTTCAGAATTTCAAAAATTCGGAATCTCACAAGTTTCAGAATTTCAGAATTTTAGAATCTCAGAATCTCAGAACTTCAGAATTTCAGAATTTCAGAATTCCGGGATTTCAGAATTTCAGAACTTCAAAATTTCAAAATTCCAAACTTTCAGAATTTTAGATTTTCATAGTTTTAAACTCACCCTTTTTCAAAACGGAGAGCGCCCTTCTTTTGATTGGTTGGAATAATTTTTTTTTGAATATTTCAAAATCCTTCATACATAACCACATCATCAAAAAAAAACTAGGCGCTCACGTAGGCGTAGCACTTTTTTCCCACGTGAATTTTTAAAGTTCGTGACCTATTTTTTATGTACGCCAATCTCAGAATTTCGAAACCATCACCTGGAACCCTGGAATCCTGGAATCCTGGAATCTTGGAATTTCGGAATCCTGGAACATAGGAGTTCTAGAATCTTGAGGTTTCAAAATTCTGAATGTCTGGGATCTTAGAATTCTGGAATCTCGGAACTCTAGAGTTTGAAACTCCTGAAATCCTGTAATTCTGGAATTCTGGAATCCTGGAATCCAGGAATCCTGGAATTGTGAAATTTTGGAATCCTGGAATCCTAGAATTCTGGAGTTTAAGAATCTCGGAATCTTAGAATCCTGGAACCCTAGAATTTTTGAATCTCAGAATCTTGGAATCCTGTCATTCTGAAATGTCTAATTCTGGGTCATAGAACTGATAGTAAGGATAAAATAATAATTTCTACATATTTTGGATAAGATAAATTTAAGAAAAAAGTGTAAAGAAGACGTCACACGTTATCTAAAAGCGCGAACGTCGACGATGATAAAAAAGTGAAGTGACGTCATCTGGTGCAACGGCGCTCTTCTTCAGCGGGTAATTTAGCGCGGTAGTTTAAATTTGAACACGGTAGCAGGTGTGAAGAGGAGTCTGAAAAAGATTATGAAGTGAAGAGCAGTCTGAACTTAAGAATCTGCAAAAAAAAAAAATTAAAATTAGAAAGAGCTCCTGTCCCTTTTTGCGCACCAAATGAGCATTGCTCACTTCAATTTTGTGTTCTTCTGTTTTTTATTCATTCTCATCTACCGTACTCCAAAAATTCTCATCTACCGTACTCCAAAAAGACATGTTTCTGCAAGAATTTTGTGTCAAACGGACTTCTAGAGGATCGCATATGGATCGAGTCCTTTATGCGCATCATCGCCCAGGACCTGTATCTGCCACTGAGCTATACCCCCACACTTTCAAAGTGATGCGAAAGGCGTACACATGTGTCTGCTTGTCTGTACTCTCTGACTGTGGGGGTATAGGCGCCAGACAAATTGGATGTTTGCCTGTTGTTCCATATGGAGTCCAAATGATTGCCTTTAGCGATTTCTAGGTTAATAAAATAGAAGAAAACTTTTATTCTAATCAGAAAGGAGAGAAATATGACACATAAAGTCGAGAAAATCACAAAAAATCAGAATTGTATCGAAGTACTTTTCAGAAAAACAGTTGTATCTTTAGAACTAGAAGTGATAGCTAAAAGTTATCAACTTAAAACATGTTAGGCTTGAAATTTTACAAATTTTTCTAGTTGACCACTTTTTGATATCTTGTTTGGTTCAAAAGTTACAGATGTTAGTTCTATAGAGCACATTTGCGCCTGTTCAAGAAAAATAAAGAAAAATCGCAAAAAATTCATTTATTCAATAATTCACACATTTCAATAGAAATTTTGAGGAGCTCTCCAGTATTTCGGATTACATCTTCCAGTTTCTCCACCACGCCAATATGGATGCTTATAAGAACTCTGAACATCAAAACGTCCTCCAAATCCGGTGATCATCAGACGGAACCGAATACAGAAAATGGATGGATTCTTCTCGTTACAGTATTCGGACCATTGAATTTCAATGAGTGGGGCAGTGTTGTCCGGAAGGTCCAATATGGCGTCCAGGAATTCTTCTGGAATTTAAATCAGGTTATTTGAAATTGAAAAGGGAAAAGTTTCACTGAAATCCGTAAAAGAATGACATTTCTAGGATCACTGGGAGTCGAGAAATAGGCGTTAAAAGTTTGAGGTTAGAGACGCTGTGTGTCTCGTTGTCTGCGCTCTATCGTTTAAAACTTCAGATGGCTATAACTCGGCTTCCAGTGCTCCTAGAAACTTGATTCTTTCCCCAAAAAGTTTCGGTCCAAAATACATTTTACTAATTTTTTTTCACAATGTTCATAATCTAACCTTTTCTCATCGGCTTCCCATACTTGGCACCATTGCATGGCATTAAGTAGAAATTGTCATCGAGAAGTGCCGGTAGAGTGGTCAAATCCTTTGCAAGGATCGCATGGTTGAGTGTTTTGAAGTATTCCTCCATGAAGTGAACGGAACTGTCATTCTTGTTCTTGGAGCACACGAGGCCGAGGAGCAACAGAGTATTGAGATGAGGATGGTTTTGAAGGTGGACATCTTTTCTAGAGGACTTTTCGCTCCAAATGTGAAGATTTTGGAGGAACAGTTAAGCTTATATAGAGGCTTGATAAGGATCTTATCAGATTCCACCTTTTTGGTATCTCTTTTTTAGCTTGATAAAGATCTGATAGTTTTTCACATTGTTTATGGAATATCTCGGTCATAAGATAATAAAATTCTTATACAGAAAATGTAACCCAACTTGAAATCCGTGGAATCTTATAAAATAAACGATTTTTATGATTTCTGCGTTTTTTCTTCTTGGAGAAAGCTTCAAAACCAATATGATATTCTTTAAGTTCTCAAAAAAAGGAAAAAAAAAACTAGGGGGCACCCGGAGTTGAACCGGGGACCTCTCGATCTGCAGTCGAATGCTCTGCCACTGAGCTATACCCCCACATTTTTGCTTTGATTCGAAAGGCGAACACATGTGTCTGCTTGTCTGTACTCTCTCACTGTGGGAGGAGAGGCGCCAGCTAAATTCGATGTTTGGCTGATGAATATGAAGTCTAAATGATTGCCTTTGGGGATTTCTAGGTTGATAGGAAAAAAATAAAAACTTTATTTTAATTATAAATATGAGAAACATGAATCACAAAGTCGCGAAAATCACAAAAAATCACAAATTTATCAAATACATTTTAGAAAAACTGTTGTATCTTAAGAACTAGAAGATATGGCCAAAAGTTATCAACTGAAAAATTGTTGGACTTGAAATTTCACACAACTTTATAGTTGACACCTTTTCGATATCTTGCTTAGTTCAAAAGTTACAACCGTTTGTTCTATGGGGCGCATTTGAGCCCTACTCCTCCTCCTTTTTCTCAATTTTTGATTTCAGGTACAGTAGGTCGAAATTCGTTGCCACGTCACTGACACGACACTTTTCTGGCTCCGCAGCCATCATTTTTTGAGCTTCAATTGTATTACGGTAGTGAGCAATACGGTATTCTTCGGGAAGAGAGTTCAGAAGAGTCTGGAAATTTTAATCTTGGATTACTGTAGTTTTCGAGAAAAGTTACTTCAAATTGCTGATCCATTGCATCTAATGGGGTACTCTGGCACACAAATTTTGAAGTGTCCATTGTCCAGGAACCACTGGAGAACTGAAAAGTTTCACAAAATCAGAATAAATTTTAAAAATTCAAAGCCTACCATTATCGGCTCCTTGAAAACCAAATTATTGTTGAAATAGTGCCCATTTTCTTCCAAAAACTCTTCTTGTCCCTGAAAATCAACATTTAAAAAATTTTAATCTGAGAAAATGCGAATTCGCTCCACCGAACAAACCTCATAAATCGTATTAAACGGAGCCAAAGTGATGCCCACGCTACTGGAAATCAATGGCTTTTTTGGTGACATGAAATGAATTTCCAGATTTTTCGAATCCAAAATTATCAATTGTTCACAACTAACGGAAATCCTGGTGTTTTGACAGTTCTTGACAATGACGATACCACGAACAGCACCCAATAGAATCCATTGTGTGTAGAAAAGGCTGTCAAGGAATACAGTTTCACATCTGAAAATTGTTAAAATGAAAATATAGAACATTTCGAGTAATTTGGCAAAAAAAAAAACCATGCTTCTACGATCACTAGAAGATATGAGCATTGAAAGCTTTATAGGGACGCAGACAGTTAGAGTGTCTCGTTGTCTGCGTCTCTCAACACAACTCTTTGGTGTTATATATTTTCAGAAAAGTCTTGACATTTCACATATTTCTAAAAAAAGACCAAGTGTCTAGGACTACTGGTAGCTGAGAAATGAGCGTTTGAAAATGCTGAAGACGCGGACAACGAGACACTCTAATTGTCTGCGTCTCTCGCGGCAGTATCTCGGTTTCTAGTGGTCCTGGAACATTCGTTTTGGACGGAAATCGATAAGAAGTTAAGAGTGTTCAGCTTCACAGCAAAAAAAATAGTATTTGAAAAATCTGAAAAACCTAGACAACACAATATTTCAATTTTTGAAATTTTCAATTTCTCAAATTATGCAAAATTTGAAAGGAAGCATTTCAGTCCAAAAATCGCATTTCTAGAGCCAATATGCGCCGAGATATGAATAGTTACAATTTGAGGTCAGAGACGCAGTGTGTCTCGTTGTCTGCGTCTCTCACCTCAAAACTTCACACGGCGATATCTCGGCTTCCAGTGGACCTAGAAGTTTGATTCTTTTTTAGAAATGTGTAGAATTTCAAGAGCTTTCTAAAAATATATAATTTCCATAGTTTTGTATAGAGACGCAGACAACGAGACACTCTAACTGTCTGCGTCTCTCACCTCAAAACTTTAAAAGCCCATATCTCGGCTCCAAGTGGTCCTAAAATAATTTTTTGAGGGATTTTTGTTGAATTTTCTGGGGTTTCTGCTGATAATATTTTTCAGCTTCTTGAACTTTTTCAACTAACCTCAACGGAACGAAAACAAACGACGCCTTTGGTTTATCATTACATATTCTCAAATGAACATTCGCAAATTCGTCCTTTCTCAAAACCTCAATCCGATTGATATAATGCAAGTGAACAACTCGTCGACTGTTATGTGCCAGTGTGGTTCGTCTTACTGTAGAAAATATTTGTGGTGATTTTTCCGACGCGAATTCATCGATGTGATAAGGATCCTTGATTAGGTGACGTCGGATTTCATTGCAGAGAAATGGAAGAGAGATACTGTTGACTTTGTCAAGGATCAGAGGAACTATTAGGGATAACGGGCGGACCCCGTGGTGATTGGAATTTCCGTGTTTGTGTTTTATGGTTCCTTCGAACAGGACGTCAAGGAATTTGTAGCCCTGGAAAGGAAATTTTCAGTATTTGAGATTTCTTAATTTGGGAATTTTGAGAACTTGGAATTTCCTGAAGGTGGAAGAGCAGATCAATTCACAAAAATTCAGATAAAAACGACTTTTCTAGCACTACTAGGAGCCGAGATATAAGCGTTTGAAATATTGATGTGAGAGACGCAGGCAACGAGACACGCTGCGTCTCTAGCCTCAAACTGTACGCGCTCATATCTCGGCTCTCAGTGGTCCTAGGGACTTGGTATTTTCACCATTCTTCTCAGAATTTATTCCTTTTTGATTTTATCAACTTCGGTATATTTTTGAATTTCCAGAAAAACTATTTTTTCCATACTTGTAATCCGGGCCTTTGCTGGGCCTTCGCGGGCCCTGGCATAGTTTCTCTCAGAGTCAATATTTTTGGACCACCTAAATTTGATATGATAGAACTCGACGAGTTCTACAAAATGCAACTATTTGGAAAACTATCTCTTGTCTATGAACAAAGTTACAGGCCATCAAGTGGCTTTTCCCGGACGGTCCGGAAGGCCCGGGCCGGGCCTGCACTTTTTCGTACTATTTTGGTTGTAACTTTTTTGTAGATAGTATCATTTTGTAGTACTCGTCGAGTTCTATCATATCAAATTTAATTGGTCCGAAAATATTGGCTCTGAGAGAAATTATGCCAGGGCCCGCGAAGGCCCGGAAAAGGCCCGGGTTACAAGAATGATTTTTTCAAAATATTTTCATTTCGTTCATTCAGAAAGTGTGAAATTTGTAATCATAAATTTCTGTCCAAGAATGATTTTTCTAGGACCACTGGGAGCCGAGATATGGGCGTTTAAAGTTTGAGGGGAGAGACGCAGACAACGAGACACTCTGCGTCTCTAACCTCAAACTGTAAATGCGCATATCTCGGCTCCTAGTGGTACTGGTAACTTGATTTTTTCAACATTCTTCTCAGAATTTCTTTCTTGTTCAGGTTTTATTAACTCTGTCCTAATTTTAAATTTCCAAAAATGTTTTTTTTCGATTTTTCGGTGATTTTGTTTATTCAAAAAGTGCGAAATTTGAAATCATTCATTTCTGTCCAAAAATGAGTTTCCTAGGACCATTGAGAGCCGAGATATGGACGTTCAAAGTTTCGAGGGGAGAGATGCAAACAACGAGACACTCTGCGTCTCTAACCTCAAATTGTAAATGCGCATATCGGCTCCTAGTGGTCCTAGAATCTTGATTTTTTTAACGCTATGTTCAGAATTTTACCCTTGTTCTGATTATATAATTTTTCTGGTAATTTCAATCTCTAGAAGTGCTAAACATCCTTTACCTGTCCACTACCAATAGCTTGTACAATATCTCTATCTTGTAGCCGTTTTCCGACATCCATCTGGAACAAAAGTTTGAATATTGGACCTGAAAATTATTTTGGAAACTTTAAAATTTCAGAGTTTCAGTCTCTCACCGAAATATTTCGAGATGCGAGTCAATACAATATCATTTCGATTTGATTTTGCCATATCTGGGGTCCTCTGCTGAATTGCAGCGAACAAAAGGGAGAATACAAGAAGTTTAAGACGAGCGTTGATCTGAAACTTTTTCTTTATTTGCATTGGAGCGCATTTGCCTTAAACTTTACATTTCCATGCTCCACAGCGTTCTGGAATATCGCTTCTGTGTAGACTTTTGAGATACGGCCTTTACCCATAGTTTCAAATTCTTCGGAGCTGAAAAAAGCAGAAATTCAAAAATAAGCAAGATTATATCCTCACCTTATCCTATCACACTCCTTCATCAATCCAATCACATCCATTGCAATTTCATAATAAACCGAAAATGGATCATCCTTCTCCACATCTACAGTAGGATAGAAGAATTGAAGAGAACGAGAGGTTCGGACCCATACATAGATATTTGTCATTACTATTTTTTGTTGAAATTCTTTTTCTTCTTTTTCTTCTTTTTGCTGCTCCGTGAGTTGGGGTCTCCATGGAGATGAGAGAGCATAGAGAAGAAAAGGAGAAGGCGTCCGATTGTTATTCTGAAGAAGAAAGAATTGGAGGAAGTGGGAGAGATTATGCGACTTCTCCTTCTTTCTAGTATTCTATAGAGTAAAGAGAATGGAGTGGAGCAAAAAGAGGAAGAAGACGGATAGGGGAAAGACGGGAGTAATATAAAACCTTTAGGTTTTCCGTTTCTCCTATTTATGGCAAAAACAGAAACAAAAATGGGTCAGAGTTAAGAAAACCAGAAAGCCCGTTAATTTCTGGAGAGAATAGTGAAAAAATCAAGTTTCTAGGACCACTGAGAGCCGAGATATGCGCATTTACATTTTGAGGTTAGAGACGCAGAGTGTCTCGTTGTCTACGTCTCTGGCCTCAAAAATTCAAACACTCATATCTCGGCTCCGAGTGGTGCTAGAAAAGTCATTCTTGGACAGAAATGCATGGCTTTTAATTTTACTTTCATTTGAATAAGCGAAATGACCGAAACGCATTTTGGAAAAAAAATTTAATGAAAAGGTAAAAGTAGATCAAAGTTAATCAAATCGGAAATCCCGTTCATTTCTGAAAAGAATCGTAAAAAAATCAAGTTTCGAGGACCACTGAGAGCCGAGATATGTGCAGTTACAGTTTGAGGTTAGAGACTCAGTGTGTCTCGTTGTCTGCGTCTCTAACCTCAAAACTTCAAACGACCATATCATCTCGGCTCCCAGTATTCCCAGAAAAGTCATTCTTGGATAGAAAGGAATGATTTTAAATCTCACACTTTCTAAATATATGAAATCTCTGGAAAAATAGTTTATAAAAAAACACTTCTTTGAAAAATTTTTTAAAACATGCCGATGTTAATGAAATCAGAATAAGGGTTAAGTTCTGGGAAGAATGGCGAAAAAATCAAGTTTCCAGGACCACTGAGAGCCGAGATATGCGCATTTACAATTTCAGGCTAGAGACGCAGAGTGTCTCGTTGTCTGCGTCTCTCACCTCAATCCTTCTAATAATCATATCTCGGCTTCCAGTGATCATAGGAAAGTGATTATTGGACAGAAATGAAGCATTTCGATTAAATTGCATATTTAGCTCCAAAATTAGTTTCAATTTAAAGACACATAGGGTCTGAAGCGGCTACTGTAGCTTAGTGGAGCAGCATGTATATTTGTACCACAAGTTCAGCTCCTTTATTTTAAAGTTTTGTATGAACATCAAGAAAAAACATTTATTGCAAATCGAGAATTTTAAAAGATGAAATTGATAACAGAGAAAAAAAAACGAAAAAGAAATCACTGGGGGGAAAACATGAAAGATCTGAAAGAAAGTTTAGGAACGCTTCAACGGTGTATTTTCTCGTCACGGTGTTTGCACAAACAGAACCTTAGTAAGTTTGAAAGTTGTAATTTTTAAAAAGGGCGAAATTCTGGACATAACGTAGAAAGAATCAAGTTGCTAGGGCCACTAGGAGCCGAGATATGCGCATTTACAGTTTGTTGTCTGCGTCTCTAGCCTCAAAACTTCAAACACTCATATCTCGGCTCCCAGTGGTCCTAGAAAAGTGGTTTTTAGATGGATTTCTGTTAATTTTTTTGGGCTTTTTACTGATAAAAATAGTTTTCTAGCTTGTTGCTTTGAGCTACTCGGTCAGATCTAGATAAGGGTGCGAACACCATGACGTAAAAACGCACACTTTCTGTGTTGAAACATCCCGGAGGGTCATTCTACGACTACTCAAATGACTAGAGGACCAAAAATGTGAGTAGAGAGAATCAAATTTCACACTTTTCAAACATTAGTATGTGAAATACTAAAAAGTTGAGGAAGTTCGCCGTGTTTTGGTAAATCCGGTGTTTCCGGAAGTTGACGTCGCCCAGGTCGAAGCCTCTGATTCTCCCAAGAATCCGAAGTCAGTCTAGTGGCGAATATCGGAGGAGGCGGTGTCGGAAGATCGTCGTCGTCGTCTTCGCCTTCTGAATCGCCATCGTCGTCGTCAGAATAATATGTTCGTGGCCCTCGATGATGATTGTGATGAGGTCGCTGGGGGAACTTCAGATGACGTCGGTATTCTGAAGGCGGTTGGGCTGGAAGGAGTTTTCGAGAAGGCGTCTGATGAGTTGCTTCTGATGAGGTACGTCTTCTATTTTGATGAGGCGGAGAAGAGTAGCGATGGTGGTGATGATTAGGGTTCGGTGGCGGGAGGATGATCTGGAAAATGAAATTTTTAGATTTGGGGATTAAAAACGCGTTTCTATAAGTTTCAGAAGAAATTCAGATAGTAAGTGTGTCTGGCTGTCTGCGTCTCTAGCTTTCCAACGCTAGAACAAATGTTCTAGGATCACAGGGGGCCGAGATATGGTTCTTTCAAGTTTAAAGACTAGAGACAACGAGACATTCTAACTGTCTGCGTCTCTCACAAAACTTGGAACAATCATATCTCGACTCCCAGATGTCTTAGAAAAATGATTCTTCCACACAAACTTTTTGATTCCTACCTTCTGTTCTATACTCTGACTCTGTACGTGATTCTGCACATGATTCTGTTCGACTGGTTTTGTCCCTGGCACATAATGCAGCACAGCATCATCTATCTCTTCCTTAGGAACCCTCGGCTTATCCCTTCGACTCCGATTGTTCGCATTTTCAAGTCGTTGACCGAATTTCACACGGACCACAGAATTCCACATAGCACTAACGTGCCAATACCAGTGCCAGTACACGTAGAGCTGGAAATGAAAATAGATCAGAGTTAAGGAAGTCAGAAAAAGGGCAAGATTCTGAAAAGAATGGTGAAAAAATCACATTTCGAAGACCACTGAGAGCCGAGATATGCGCATTAACAATATCAGGCTAGAGACGCAGAGTGTCTCGTTGTCTGCGTCTCTAGCCTCCAAACTTCAAACGCCTATATCTCGACTTCCAATGGTCCTAGAAGCTTGATTCTTTTTCAGAACTGTGTGACATTTCAAAAGCTTTCTAAAAATATATAATTTAAATTATTTTGTTTGGAGACGCAGACAACGAGACACTTTAACTGCCTGCGCTCTAGCCTTGAAATTTCAAGCGCCCATACCTCGGCTCCCAGATGTCGTAGAACGCTGGTTTTTAGCGTAATCTTGAAATCTCAAATTCAAAAATCTTAAAACTCACATGAAAAAAGTTAAGCGCAGTGCCAACCAGATAAAATACGATAGGAAGAAGTGGAGCTGCTTGTGGTGCTGCCAATACCACTACTATCCTGGGAAGAGCGGCGAGAAGAAGCACTAGGAGGCAGATACCGTAGGCGGATTGCTGAAAATAGGTATGAATGATTTTTGGATAAGATCATGAGAATATAATGGGATTATTTCAGTAATGGGGTGCGTTTGCCTCTCTCTGTCTCTCATAATTGGATCCTACTTTTTAAAAACGCATAACTCAGCTCACAATAAGAAATTTCAGTTGAATCAAAAAGTAAAATGTAGAACTCGACAAGATCTACAAAATAATATAACATTCAACCGTATTTGGCATTTGTGTGCCAATCCAGAAGCCATGAAACAGACACGCCTGCCCGCCAAGCTCCAACTCCTCTCCTTTGCGGTCTTCCTAGTTCAGAACTAAGATTTCGAACACTGTTGAATTATATATCATTTTGTAGATCTCGTCAAGTTCTACAGTTTTGTTTAAAAATCAAACAAAAATCCTTATTTTGAACCGAGTTATAGGCCTTTGAAAAAGGCGCAGTCAGTATGCTTGAGGAAAACTATGTATAAGAATGTGGTGTAAAATAGAAGGCTTATTGCTTTTTTTTTTGTTTTGGGGTAATTTTTATGTGTCTTTTGGGTAGCTAATATGAAAATTTAGATTAAAAATGTGTCAAAATGGAATATGAAATCATATGAATTAGTTATGAGTACTTGTGTCAATTTTTAGGACTAGGGACCAAAATTTTTTGAAATCTAAAACATTAAAGAGACTTTTCAGCACAACAATCATGAAAAGGTATTACAAGAAAGGTATTATTCATATTTATATTTTTCCAATTTCCTCTTCAATTTCCTGTGTTGGAAACTTTTTTGTTTGTGATAAAAAATAGAGGTTAATCATAGTTTTTTTCCCCTCAAAATCTAATTAATTTTTCAATTTTCAGTATTAGATCCCTCTAAATCTTGAATTCCAGAAATCAGTACCTCAAAAATGTATTCAAAATTTTGAATTTTCATTTTTGGATTTGCTGCTTCCTTTCCCCTCTTTTGTCTTCCAAGCTCCCCGTTCTTATCCGACATCTCGCCTCCTAGGGCAGTGAGGTCCGGTGGCCGAGGGGTGCGCGCTCTTGTCTAGCAGTCTCGTGTTGCTGGTTCAAACCCCCGCAATGCTTTTTTGGTTGTTACTATTTTGTTTTTATTTTCTTTTGTATTTTAAACGTTTCGAAGCCTAAAAATCCCTCAAATTTCCCAATTCTTCACATTTCCACTCCCAGACACACATACTAACTATACGTCAGTGTCTCTTTTCACCGTTCTGTATGTTCTTCTCATAAATGTGTAACCGCCTCTCCTCGAATTCCCCATTCTCTCATTTTTGCACTTTTAGCCATTTTTTGCTCTCTTTTTTGTTCTCTTTTTCGCTTCTTCTCTCTTGGTGCGTCCTGTTTGCCTGGGGGTGACGATTTTTGGTAGGAGCGAGAGATCAGGGATATCGAAGAGACGCAGAGATAACAGAAAAACGATTGCGCTAGAGAGAGGAACGAGAATAAACAAAAAACCTCCGTATGGCTGTCTATATGTTTGTAAATATTTCAACGAACGAGAGAAAAAAAACGGACGCGCTACCGTAATCCGGTCGGTGGAGAAAAAATGATGTGCACTTTTATGGTTTAGGCGGTCTGACTATGTGCACTTTAAAGGCTTTTTTTTTGGGATTCTCTTCGCAAAAAACCGGATGACCCGAGAGCAAAACATAGAAATGAAAAGAACAAAGTGGATCAGAGATCCTTAAGGATCTTAAAGAATCTAGAAGAATCTGAGAAACCAAAAATAAGAATTTATTGGAACCCTGGAATACCACATAATTAAATTGATCCCATTTTTCGAGGTTTTTAGAATTTTTAAAGAATTTCGAAATTTCAAGAACTTGAATTTTTGTAAAAAATTTCAGTATTGATTCATCTGCTTCCTCTCCCCGTCTCACATTGCAAGCCGCTCTTTCTTATCCAACATCTTGCCTTCTAAAGCTTTGTGGTCCGGTGGCCGAGGGGTGCGCGCGATTGTCTATCAATCTCCTATCGAGGGTTCGAACCCCCGTTATGCATTTTTGGGTTTTTCCCTATTTGTTTTTTGTGTGCTTTTGTATTTTTAGTCTGCATCTTTTGCAAAAGCATACTAACTAACTAAAATATACAGAAAAAAAATTTATAATAAAAAGTACAAGTAAACATTCGGGGATGTGTTCCTCTCATCGCATCATTCCGATTTTTGTTAAATGTTTACTCAAGTAAATATTACGGAGAAAAAGAGCACTCAAATCGAGTTTAGTTATTTAGTTATATTTATTTGAAGCATTTTGTACTTTAATTGATTCAAAATCACAGAGAAACTTTTCTAAAAGCAATTTTGGAAATTATGAAACTTTGGATAGTTACAAAATATGGTTAATTGAATTTAATTACTTTGAAATTTTTAGAGGATACTAAACAAAACTGGATCTTCATTTTTGTAGTTGACAACTTTTCTGTAAAGTTTGAACCTAGCGAGATATGTCATCTGGAAGTGCACCTAGTTTTTGCGCACACCAGTGGGTGGCGGCGCCTAGCTGCGCTTCGACGCGGCATATCTCGTCAGGACTTAGTTTTCCCAAAAAACTGTAACTGCAAAAATGACGCTCTTTTCTTGAGCTTTATTTCTGTAGTTGACAACTTTTTTGAAAAATTTCATCCTAAAGAGATATGCCACGTGGAAGTGCACCTCGTAAAAGCGCACACCAGTTATGTGGGTGGAGGTGCCTTCCGGGTAGCTGTGCTCACAAGTCGCATAACTCGCTTGGATAAAATTTTTCTGAAAAGCTGTCAACTACAAAAATGAAGCTCTATTTTTGTTCAGTATATTCTGAAATTTTCAAAAAGATTGGGAGACTTTGACCTACTTTTTCAACCACCTAGACTTTACCCATTTTAGAGCATATCTAGCCCAATGCTACCGTATCTTTTCCGGCATCGAAGTTATCATGACTTCCTTTTGCCAACTAAGATCCCTGATTCCCAATTTTCCATCCAGCAGCTGCCCCAGTCCCCGTATCCTACCCCCCAGTGTCAGGCGATCATCTCAGTTTTTTTCGCCCATTTTCCCTTTCTTCGTTTTCTTCCAATTTTTTATAGTTATACGACACGAGAGAGAAAGGATCTTGAAGAGAGACCGGTCTCTAATTTCTTTGCACTTTTCTCGCTGCTTCTGCTTTTTGCGAGCGCCCGCGGGCGGCGGGCCGCCCGTTCCTTTACCCCCAGGGCCCAAGAGACGCCAGAGAAAAGCCATGCACTTTTAAACTATTATATGTGTTTTTCGGGTCTCGTTCTCGTGTATTTTCTTCTTGAGAGAGAAAAACGTTTTTTTTTACAAAAAAATCGTTTAGAGACGCAGAGACATTCTGTCCTGGGGGTGACATATGTTCCTTGAGAAGATGAGCAATTTGAAACGGCGATGGATGGATTTTTTGGAACTACTAGTGTAATTGTTTAACGATTCGAGCTTTCGTTTGCTTCAAGAAATCCCAGCACAGATTTTTGCACTTTTTGAAAAAGTGCATCGGGTTTTAATGGTTTTGTTTTTAGCGTTTTTAGCATGGCGGTCCTCGAAATAGATTCTTGGAGACGACTTTACAATCAAGAGATTGGGAAACAAACTAAAAAAAACCTAATAGACCTCCTGAATTCGAAAATCCCATTCTCAAAAAATTAAAAATTCTAGACAACTTTCGAAAATTGCTGAATCCAAACTTGAGAACGCTCTAATAGAACGCCACCCAGTACTTCCCCCTTTGAGCTCGATTATCTCGGTTCCTGTGAGAGATATCAAGAATTTGTTAATTGATAAAATGTTACTGATATTATGATAAGAATTTTACCAGATGAAGATTTCTTGATTACTCTCACAGAAATTGAGATAATTAAACTCAAAGTGGAAGTCTAGGATTGGCGGCGCCCACCGCTTAAAAGGTGGGAGCGCACACTTTGAGCTCAATTATCTCCTTTCCTATAAGAGATATCAAAAATCTGTCAACTGATAAAATGTTAATGATATTGTAACCATAATTTCATCAGTTGAAAAATTGTTGATATAAGACGGATGAAATTTGAAGAATTTTTTCGCATGTATAGAAACAGCTCGAATTGATGATTTCATGTACCATGTAGCCTTTATTTCAGTTTCACCAGATATCTAAATTTTCTGTACAGAAATTATAAATATTCCAGAAATTAGTAAAAGTTATAGAAAATGTTTATTTGATGGATCTGAAAATGATATTGAACAAAAAAATAGGTGGACAAATTGAAATTGGACAGTGTAGTAGTATTATCAAATCCAGGTGACAACCAATCTTCCTGCACTTTAAACTCCTTGTTGCTCTGTGCCTTCTTTTCTTCTACAGGTACAGAATCGGTTTGTCTCCCGATTTTGTACTTTTTTAAAGGAAAAAGAGGTCACGCCAAAATCAAGTATTATTTGAATTGTGCCACGAGAGGGGACAAAATCGGTAGGCAAACCGATTCTGTAACTAGTGAAACAATTCAAATTTTCTCTGATTTCACGTGTCTTTTTGTGGATTTTGAAACATTTCTCATGAAATCCGATTTTGAACCAATTTTTTGATCGACACTAACTTTCTACAATACGCTTATTTGGGTGAGAGTGATATCTGAAATTTTGGATATTTTGAGACTGCTATCCAATATCCATACGCTAGCCAATAGTCAATCCGATGTCCACAATAAGTACCATCAAAAGATGAGAAAGAATTCGGGTCGGG